ATGCATATATAGTCGATCCCAGCTTATCATCCTTAGCTCCGTCCACTCTCTACAAAATCGTACATGATTCGGCTGTTTTCCTTTTTATGTTGTCTGTAATTTATATATCCGAGTCGCTGGCCCAGTGTAATTTAAAATGTTTTTGTGCAATTATCGCTCATTTAAACCTGAGGGAATTGTGTACTAGCCATTGTTCAGCAGACAACATCCTTTCGGAAGACTTAAAGTACGTACTGTATTTCTCGTTCTCACATAAGGCCACATTCTGGCTAAAATGTGCGTACTGATGTGAGGAATAGACAATTGACTAGCCCACATAATACTCACGAAGACCACATACCGCCCGTACTTTGTGCGTCTATGAGAGATGAAGACTAATTGTTCATCACCTTACCTCTTCAACGCAATAGGGACACACCCTGCCTGTATTGTGTGTGCTGGTGAGAGAAGTAGACCAATTGATTCTGAGCTGTTCGCGAGACAAGACCATCAAGATGTGGAGCGCATGTTGTGCGAATGTGTTGCGCAGATGCGGCTGTAGGGACCCTGGTTACCACTGCTTCAGGACACTCACGTCTCACAAGGTATGTAGAGACTTGCTAGTCTGCAAGCATATCCCTCAGAAGGGCGTAAAGGTTTATTGCATTTGTTTGAGGACTGCCCCATTTCGCAGTTGGTTGGTTATCCATTATCATCTAGTAGAGAGCTAGAACTTTCCTGCCATTGGCAAGTCGCTCTTGGTGATCACTGTAAATTACAATGCTAATCTCCCTCCTCCGAAAAGTTGTTCTTCAACTCAACCTCTGAGCTCGCTTGTGGCTATTGTCGGCGTTTTCTAGTTTGTGTATTGGTGGCAAGTTTTGGCCTGTGTGCTAGTACTGCCCACATCTCGACTTCTCATCACATCACTCCCCCCCCCCCTGTCCTGCTGTATGTACTCTTTGTATTGTGTTATAGGCGGCAGTGAACATGATCCAGGCCAATGACGAAGTGATCGTTTCGGTGTCTGGTGACCATGGTGCCATTGTGTGGGATCTCAAAACGGGCGAAGAGTTGCGGCATTTAGTGGGTCATCAGCGAGGTGTGTATCTACTGCACGTACACGCACCCGACATGGCAGTTATCTAGCCTCCGTCTGCGCACAATGACACCTGCATGCCATATATGAACACGTACAGTCTTCCCTTGTCTACCCGCAGTGGAGATAACATATTGCACACGGAGCATCGCCTTCAGGCATTGGACGTGTCTACCTGTTTTGATATTACCACGCAGTATTTAAGAACAACTGGCTGCAGTCGTTGCTTGTATCTATCGAAGGTTAAAGCTAGCAGACCGAACTTTTGGTGACGGCAGCACACAAACGACTTCTGTCCTCACTGAAGACAATCTAGCAAGCGATTCAACGATAAAAAGCATTTGTAGGCAGGCAACTTTGATTTCTATTTTCAATTCAATGAAAAGGAACGCCTTAGGACAACAACGTTTTGGCTGACACATATCCAGTACACATCCATGCTATCACATCCTCATCAATAGTAGTAGACCGCATCCTATGGTGACCACCTGCATAGTGCCCCTCATAACTATCAGCAGACTAACGTGCATTCGACGGCAACAGCTACTTGCAGGTTTATCTAACTTGCACATATTTAACCAAAACAATTGCTAGCGTCTACCTTGAGTAATCCTGACACATACCAATCTACAGGCATTGCTTGCGTCTATCTACGAGGAAACTATGTTGTGACAGGGTCGTCCGATTTCACCGCTAAAGTGTGGGACTACAGAAGCGGGAAGCTCCTCAACACTCTTCGCGGTCATACACATCTGGTTCGCTGTCTGACATTTAACGATCGTATTCTTCTCACCGGGTCCTATGATACGGTACGTTTTATGTGATGTACTGGCATTTGTACGTTGCATTTACATTTCGCTTTTAATACCTGGCCTGAAGATTTGTCAGTAATCAAGTTCTCATGCGAATAATGGCTGGACTATGAATACTCAGCCGGTGTTCTCTTGACAGGGCATTCTTTGGAATGTTCTACAGACCATTAGCCATACCAAACAAGTGATTCCACAAAGATATATTGTCCTAGTAATGTATAGGTCATTAGGCATACTCAGCGAATTTTCTGATTATAAAGCATATTACCATTGATTTCATTTCAGACCATCATTGCCTGGGACTGGCGCACGGGCACGGAGCTGTTCAAATTCAACGAATTCCGAGATGCCAAAGTCTACAAAATGCAATTCGACGAAAATAAGATCATCTCCTGTGGGGAAAGAAATGCCGTACACATGCGCAGCTTCACAGCGGTAGACGCGGCCACCGCTTCTGGGCTATAAAGAATATAGTCCTGTGTGTGTTTATCGTTGAACCCTGAAGGAATTAGGTCGGTATGTGGCGTGTGGATGCGCGAGGTTGCTGAGGAGGGCAAGGCCTCAACCGGATCTACACCGTTTTTCTTTGCTGGTTAATTTCGAAGTGCGCACAAACCTGTGCTTGTTGGTGCGGGTCTGATCCATCAGTAAGCGCCGCAACAATCTGCTACTATAGTTATGGGTGGGTACAGGATTAACGCATGAGTAAGATTAAATCCTCTCTCAGAAGTTAGTATCTTACCGAATTTTATATTGTTCCCGCTTTACTTGTACGCACCACATTGGCGTACATCTCAAACTGAATAATTAGAAGTCACACAGAATATGTAGACCTCACTAGATTCATACTCTAAAAAAAAATGCTATTTCGAGACCGAGTATACAATATTGCCACCCTTTGACACGAGCTTTTGATTATTTGAAACTCAGGATTATTATATCATCTGTGCTGTCAGTGCGCGAGAGTGTGTAGTATCTATATCCTCGACTCTACTCTCTGATATGCCATTTCTGTGACATAGATACAGTGCAAGCCACCTGAATTGTAACATGTACTGTGTGAAGTGTAATGATGCTCCATGCACGCATGCCTAAACGTCTCACTCGAGTGAAAGGTGTATTTGGTCGTGGGCAATCACCTCGAATTTTTAGCTTATATCTTTCGCATGGCATTGATAGACAGGGTTTGGATTTGGTGTATATGCGCGTTGTAGGTCAAAGTTCCAGTATATGACGTATCCTGTCAGGTTGGCCGAAAAAGCATTAGGACCCAAAGGTATGTGCTATACGTGAACTACTATCTACATATATCTTGTTACAAATACTGAGTGGATGCAAATGTCTCTTTTCCTGCTGGTACCCACCACCTGCGCACAAATACAGCAGTGATCATTCAGTTCTTGGTGGTCTTCCGTCTAAAAAAAGAACATTCAGAAGGCTGTGGTCTGGTGTATTTTAAATAAACGGTTTATTTTGAATACACTATTAAATGCAACAATTTGGCCATGTAGATAGATTATACTGATGGTAAAAAGACGCCCACCGTATATTCGCACTCACTTTAAGGTGTGCATATCAAAATTCTGCCAGTGATATCAGCTAAGTAGCGTTCCTCAATGATAGGAATATCAAGCCAACAAAGATACCAAGTCCTGCTGCGCCATGAATTTCGCATTCACTTGGATTTGTGCGTGATACAAATTGCGCAACTGTTCATCGGCCAGAGTGCACATACAATTGGTACATGGCTGTAATTGGCAGTGGGTTCCTGCAGCTGCAATTCTAGCTTGTTTAAACGTACAGTACAGATACATACATATATTTATTATGTACACATGTACGCTGACGAATGATGCCTTAACGAGTAGTTAAATAAAGCATGTATGTGGCACTGTACACATAGATGTCTATAATAGATAGTGTATACACATACTGAACTAAATAAAATTGGACTGAACACAGATTTTACAGGTAGATATGACTGTGAGTGTTTAAGATGATGATTGATTGATAAGAGGTTTACATACGTTTGTATCACCCACGGATGCTGTATACTGTACATGCATTCTCTACTGGGCCTGTACCGCAGGTTGCATATCATTGATCTGAACGGAGTAGTAGTCCTCTTCTTAAGTGCTAAGGATACATTAGTCAACGATAAAACACTTTGATTAACAGTTTGTACGAGGTTTCATATGGTACCTATGATTTCTATTAAGTTTTTCACATACGATTTGTTGTACTGTAAAATACGATTCATGTAATTCCTAAAAAAATTGTAAACATAGGTACATGTATCCAAAAGGTGCATGTGTCTACAGGCGGGATAGGGTTGGATTGTAATCTATAAGCCCCGGGTTCGATTCCCGGGCTGGCAATTCTTTGCGAAGTCGTACGAAAAAAAGTCCAGTTCAGGGATTCACACTGCAGGTTGACTACCCTGAGCTATCCTCGACCATAAAAAAAACTAAGTCCTAGCAAGACCATGACGTCAGACCATCGGACGATTTGAGTGGACACCGCCATTGAGACCAGCAGATGAAGACCAGAAATTACGACAGTCGAGTGGACGAGGGACTGACCCAAAAAGCCGAAGGAGTAATGACCAAAAGGGGAAAAGCCGAAAGAGTAAGACCCAAAACATGAGACCGACCCAAAACTTAATATTCGGGATAACTCGGAGACGGGACTCCTATTTACGATCACTATATTAATATCCCTGGGAGTTTGGGGCTCTCATTAAAGAAATCCTTGGGCAAGCCATAGGCTGAAGTATCAAAAACCTTCCAAAGTGACGGTTCTGCTAAGCCCTAACTGAGCAGTTTTTACCAATTTCTCTTGGATATGTGAACACGTTGTATGTCTTCAGTTTCAATCGTCTGGTCATCAGCATGATTGCAGCGATAAGCCTTGCGCGACTTGAACGATTTTATCTGTAGAGCAAAAAAAAGTAAATACCATGCAACGTGGTTGTCAAAACAAGGGCAACTGTACATAAAGTTTCCATATTATGCTATGAGAAAAAGTAGCGGGTGAACGTTTGCGCGCAGGTTGGCCTAAACTCAGTGGGACGCGCATGACCAGCCGTAAATTATCACGATACGTGAATCCACTCACCACATAACTCTGCACATGCTGCATTTCCAATTTTATTGGGTAAATTGAATGTGGCAACTGCTTATATGAAAACTATATCTCAATGATTTTCATGATCCAGCAATCAGCTGTCGTATACAAGAATCGTTGTATTTGTTCCTCGTATTTTTCTAAATATGCCATGATCTCCGACCATACCGAATGCCGCGAATACTTAGCTCCAGTTAAATTGCAATGTGCACGGGAAGAACATAACTCCAGATCTGTGCTCCTGGGGCTGTATGGTACAGCAACCGCACATGGCTGCGCACCAGAAAAAGTGACACTCAACGCGGTGCTTAAGCCGACGAACCGACTTCTCAGCTATATTTATGATAACTGTTTTTATTTATTTAATTAGAAGGACAGCTCGAAGCATGAATGTGTACTGGGAAGATCCCCGGCATCCAGGTCATTTGTGACCAACCAAACCCCTAGGCGACGACTCGCGCAGCAAAATAAAAGTTCGGCTCCGTATATTTTCGATGATGTGATAGTAACGATGACCTCTCAATGCTCACGCAGTTTGTAGTGCAAGTTTGGTATAGAGCGATCAAAGCTCTGAAGGAAAAATACCCGCGAGATGTTAAAGGACTATCAAAATTACCCTCCTCTGTACTGGGCCGCTTGGAATGAGCACAAATCATCATATTAAGAGAGTGAGAAAAATAACAACGTCAACGCCAAAGCACATATGTTACCTAGTTTCAGCAGTAACTGTTCCCACCTGTCTTCTAAACTCAGTGCAGACGTTCCCGCAGATATTGGTTCATGAAGATGCCATTGGGATCCATCGACCTCTGTAATTGCACGAAGTCGTCTAACCTCGGATACACTGTGCGGAAATATGCTCTGGTACCCCAGTTCATCTTACCCCAATGTGGCCTGCCCCCATATCTGCCATGCATATAGATATTGTTGATGCGAGCAGCTTTAGTATAAAATTTGGCAAAATAAAACTGGCAGGAAGTACTGCCAATATACATTCGTTGATCAAAGATATATGATCAGAATCCCCAACAACGAACGTACAAAACAGAAAACAGCAGTCGAATGTCGTACTTGGCTAGCCCATCCAATACTGGGAATTGTACTTCAACCAGAATTCACACGCTATGGGTTCAAACATATACCTGTGGCTGATTCGCTCCAGCTCTTGTGCATAAAACTTGAACACATTCGAGTCACCGGACTCGTGCGTGTTCCCCCAGGCGATGAATGAGATCACACAGATGTCGCTCTCGTACATCATGGACATCCAATGTTTGTCGGCAGCTACATATCGGACGCCCGTGAAGAGTTTGTCCTTGGGATTGTACGCTGCGACCACCTATCAGGTGAGATTACGTGTTTATCATAGGCTGCCATGCGATGTAATCGCGCTGTGAAAGGTGAAATCGGCAGCGTCTGTATATAGCATCAGCTAAAAAACCGCTATTGCTACAATGCTTGGACAGGCTAGGGCACACACAATGCGTATCATGAAGGCAAGCACAACAGCCACCAAGTGCATGTGACCAGATGATGATATCTCGAAACCGAACGTTTTTCTTGCACAATTTGCGTTTGGGCCGTGCAGGTTTCTGTGACACTAGGGTATGTAGCCGCTGATACCTACCTCTGGCATTTCCTGGAAAGCACGGAAATCGTTGAGGGCATCCATGCAGTGTGCAATGGGAATGAACTGTTCCATCTCGGTGAAGAGGGTGCCTGCACGACCGTCACGGGAGAGAACTCTATTGGAGATATCCACACACGTCGGTGTCACGACTCTGTGTTAACAGGTGATTGTAGGATGCATTCCGACGGCTTAGTCAAATTGGCAGGATAAGGGTTGATATTTAGTGCCTCTGCCGCAAGTGCTGAACTAATCCAAAAAGGCCATAACGACCACTCCAGAGATCTTTGTTATGGATGTTCACACATCTGGGTGTAAGGGTCCTTTGAACACAAAGATAGGAAACTGGCAATTCATAGATACTGATTGCGGGTACTGCAATGTATATGTCTACATCCGTTTGTATCATGACTACAATCAGCAGATGGGATAGGATGTGTTCAAACCGCCGAGTTAAAGTAGGTGTATGTTTGTTTTGAAGTTGGTAAGAGTTTGTTCTGAAGTAGGTGTATGTTTGTTCTGTAGTATCCACAATGTATTCTAATTATGATTTCGAGAGTAAGTGAGCGCTCACGAGACCATTCAATTCTCGAACGTAATCATCGCGACTCTACATTCAATCAGCTGTTCAGAACTGTGAAAGCACTACCGTAGTAGATACAACGCTGAAAGACGAGCGATAGACTAAACACTTGCGGATGTGAATAAAAACAAACCAATTTGCCAAATATGTCAGTTCTGCCAGTCCGTGGAAGGTGCAGCAAGGGTACACCAACGAATATGTCGCTAATTCTTGAATAGTGTACGTGATTCGATCGCGCTCCGTTGCGGCGTCCTCCATCATATATATGACAACCGCAATATTGCAAAAAACCCCCCCCCCAAAAAACCCTTGAACGCTCGCACCAACACTCACCACGACACATAAGGCCGCATACGAATAGAAATCAAATCTTAGGACATGTATTACTCTGTATCGAGTCTTTGACATACTCAATGCACGCCTACGTGTTTTTTCACATGACGCTAAATCGCAGAAAAAAATCATACTTGGTGCCGTTCCAGCATCCCATGCCTGCAGGTTCGATCGCTTTGTCAGTCGCCTCGCGTGTTAATAACACCGCGTTCTCGCCCGATACATAGGGCGTCCAATACCACTGCAACCGCTCGTATCGCTGCAGTAGCACAGGCAACTCGTGTATGAGCTCGTCGAGGTCCCACTTTGTCTGTGAGCGGTACAGTTTGTACGCTGGCTGGACTTTCAGGGTCACTTCCACGACCACACCGATGGCACCTGCGGGTTGGAGTGGAGGCGAGGTGCGAGTACTTGAGCGGCAGATTGTAAAATACGTATAAGTTAGCAATTGGTCAGGAACATACATATAAGATATGCGATGGGCCAAACTTTCAGCGACTAAACTTGTTCCCAACGACATAACAACTATTCTAAAAGTACGGTGTAAAGTGATGTGTATATTTCACCCTTTCATATCTGATCTAGTTGAAAACCCTACAACTTTGGATATTTATGTTCATTGAAAAGTCGTATTGTTCGGGAGATATAACACATGAACGCGTCTTCAAACCTTAACACTACCCCGTCACAGTATGAATCACTTCTCAGACGTGTCTATCAGTACACTTGCAGTGAGGATCTACACCTCAGCATATCGTCATCCCAAATAATAAACGCGTCCGTTGCACAAGGATACCGCTTACCAAGCCCAACAACCACTGCATGGAACAACTCAGGATTACTGTCAATAGACGCGCTAACCAGTGTCCCGTTCGCACTCACAAACTTTATCCCACGCACGGCGGTAGCCAATGATCCCAGACTGCCGCCAGTGCCATGGGTGGAAGTGCTAAAGGCTCCCGCGACACTTTGCTCAGTTATTGCGCCTGAGAAGAGGAGAGGAGAAAGAAAGTGAATGGTTTGTAATACAGTGACTACTGTGAATTGAAAGTATATGAATATATATACATGCGGGTAAGACTGAATATGGTATGTGCGGACATACTTTACAGATTGCCGGCAGTGTCGTTAGTATATATAGCTGATAGTTTGTGAGGATGGAAAGTTGTTCTTTCATGTGATATTTGCGTGTAAGTTTTGCAGACTGCCGCAGGTGCATATTCGGATGGCCCCAGAAACGCTCTGCTCTATAGTACCGGTTGCAAAGTTGTGCGATGATTGATGATGTATATGGGTATAGATAAGCGACCGATTAATATGAATATGAATGATTGATGATTGATAAGGCTCTAGATGAAATATTTTTCGTCAACTATATGTGTAGAAAAGCAAAGTGCGTTGGTATGTGTATGTGTAGTGTAGACGTAAAGACTTCATCATTTGCCGCGTGTGCTATTGGTGGGTCTCCTGGATGGTACTAGCAATGCTCTGTTTACAAAGTGCGCGTGTAACAAGGTGTACGTAAGTTCATAATATAAAATAATATAAATAATATATATATATA